GTTCAACCAACAGTTTGCAAAATAACAGTTGTCCAACCAAGGATGGTAAATGGGGAGTATCCCCCACATCAAATAGTGGAGTTTTCACCATCACCAAAGGTGGAGACAAGTTCACTTCAAGTGGCATGTGTGACCCCAGTGGCACATAGCCAATAAACTGAAATAAAACGTTGGGGATAGGAAGCATAATACAATAAGGAGTAGGGTATAAGATGACCTTGTAGGGGATCCGGAGCAACACATCTGGGTTTCTGCAGCCCCCAAAATGATCTTGTTGTGATTCCTAATGGGGGGGCTAGGAGCATTTAGACATAGGTCGGGGGACTATTGGCCACTCATCCCTTCTGAAGACAGGTGCTTGGGCTAGGGGGGAGAGTAGTGAGGGGGATACGAGTGCTGGAAAGGGAGGGGATAAAAAAGGGAGGAGGAGGGCCTTGAAAACGAGTCATATAGGCAAGTCCAGCCAGAGCCTTTCAATAAATGAACGTTTCCAAATCAGATCCTATTGAAATAAAGCATAGAGTGGGTAAACTGGGATACCCATCTTAAGTAAAAAACACACTTGAGTGGTGCAGTATCCCCTTGAGAAAGAGAGCAAAGCTGTCTTACAGGTCTCAGACACGGAGGTTCAGGTAATAGGTGATGATCTCCTTGCAGATGATCTTGACTGCTGGGTCTAGATTGGTGACAGGGGTCTGTCATCAGAGGGACGTGGTTGTGAGGTGGACAGATCCTTGGAGATCAGGCTAAAATTCAGGAGAACTTCCTCGCCATCTTGAAAATTAGTAATGAGTCTTTCCCTTGTACAAGAAAGCCAGTTTGAAGGGGAACTACCAGCAGTATATTATGTTTTGATTGAGCGGCTGAGTGAGCAGGGGTTTCAAAGAGCATCTCTTCTGGACCGCGAAAGCAGAAAGATCTGCAAACAGTAGAATCTTATGTCCCTGCAGGGAGAGTTTTGGTGAAGCTCTGGCAGCAGACATTGTATTTTTTCCTTTATCCTGTAGTAATGGAGCTTCATAATGATATCTCGAGGTAGGGCATCTTGTCTAGGGGCAGTGAGAGCTCAATGGATCCGATCAATCTCAAGTTGGGGGGGGGGGGGGAGATATCCGGGATAACCTCTTTCATTAACTGATGGGCCACCTTCTCCAAATCTGTGTTGGTTTCGGGGAGGCCACGGATGCGGACGTTGTATCTTATGGATCTATAGAAAATAGCATTTTTTCACTAAGATGATGCATTTATTTTAACAGCAATCAGTGCAATGGGGTATATTTTCTAAAACTAGTGCACTCAGAATCTGATGCAACTGTGCATGGTAGCCAGTCAGCTTGTTATTTCAGCTTTTTCAAGTTGAGCTTCACTAATAAAATCTGGAAGCTGATTGATTTCTATGCAGAGCTGCACCAGATTGTGCACTCTTCAGTTTTAGTAAATAAACCCCACAATCTCATAATAATTTTATTTTCAAAATGTTTTTATTCACATATACTTATATATTGCTAAGGTTTGTAAACAAGCTTTGAGATCCTCTCATAAATTATTATTTTAGATTGCGAATAATTATTTATTATGATCTCAGATGCTCCTTTTCCTGCTCTCCTCAATAGGCATCTTATTCAAAAAGTTATAGCATGCTTGTTTTAACCCTTTCATGGCCAGACCATTTTTTTGCTATTCAGCACTGCACTACTTTAGGTACGGCATTGCATGACCATGCAATTACCAGTTAAACACAATTTATAGCATTTTTCACACGTTTTATTATATAAACATATCCAACTTGCTATCAAACATATCCAATTAAAAAAAATCAAATTTCTCCATACATTTAGGCCAAAATGTATTCTGCTACATATTTTTGGTAAAAAATTATACTACTAATGGTGCTGATCTGCGATTTGTAGTGGGACTGTGATAGTGTGACGGGCAAACTGGCAAGATTGAACAAGTGTTCATTTGTGTAATGTGTGCTGCTGTTTACTAAAAAAATCTTTGTTTCCTCTCTCTGCTTTGCAGGGAGAAGAAACAGAGAGATCGTTCCATCTGTACAGAGCACTGTGTTGATTGTCAACACTGGGCTCTGGCTGTGATTGCACACAGCTGATCAGCAGATCCTTGCCATAAATCTTTGACCAGAACCTGCTGATAAACTCCCGCTGTGTACAATCACAGTGGGAGTCAATGGATGGGGACAAGTGCACACTCCCTATACTCGGAAGAGACCAGCGACATACAGGTACAGTTGACTGGCCTAAAGAGACATGGCTCAACATTTTGTGGACTGATGAAAGTAAGATTGTTCTTTTTGGGTCTAGTGGCCGGAGACAGTTTGTCAGACGACCCCCAAACACTGAATTCAAGCCACAATACACTGTGAAGACAGTGAAGCATGGTTGCGCAAGCATCATGATATGGGGATGTATCTCATACTACGGCGTTGGGCCTATTTATCGCATACCAGGGATCATGGATCAGTTTTAATACATCAGAATACTTGAAGAGATCATGCTGCCTTATCCTGAAGAGGAAATGCCCTTGAAATGGGTGTTCCAACAAGACAACAACCCCAAACACACCAGTAAACGTGCAACATCTTGGTTCCAGACCAACAAGATTGACGTTATGGAGTGGCCAGCCCAATCCCCGGATCTTAATCCAATAGAAAACTTGTGGGGTGACATCAAAAATGCAGTTTCTGAGGCAAAACCAAGAAATAGAGAAGAACTGTGGAATGTAGTCCAATCATCCTGGGCTGGAATACCTGTTCACAGGTGCCAGAAGTTGGTTGACTCCATGCAACACAGATGTACAGCAGTTCTCAGAAACAGTGCTTATACAACTAAATATTCATTAAGTGATTCAAAGGAAAGCAAAATCTTCAAACATTTTTCAGTTTATATAGTGAATGTTTGAGTTTGTAAAGAAGAATACAAACACTGCTATTTTTTTGAACAGTCTAATATTCACTTATCTTCAATTTTTTAGAGGAACAACATAAATTTGACATATTTTTCCTCATGTTTTGATTTGGAATAGAATGTGTAGTGTTCCCAATGCATTTTTGTGTATGGAAATAAAAGCTATTAGAAGGATTTTGAGCTTTATTCACTTTTTTCAACACACTGCTATTATTTTGAACACAACTGTGTGTATATATATATATATATATATATATATATATATATATATATATGTGTGTGTGTGTGTGTGTGTAAATATACACTGTATATACACACACACAGATACTGTACATATAGACATTTTTCTGTTTGTATCTGACTTTCCTTTTATCCCCAGAAGTCTGTATAGAGTTTGGGCCAAAATTTCAGGCATCACCACTAAAACTTTGGTTTCATACAGCAAGCCTTTCTTTGGTAATAATGTGGGTGCCTGGGTTCTCCTATTATTACATCATGGGGACTTCAGCAGGCAAACTTAGAATAGGCCTGTCTCTGTGACTCCAGATCAGAAAGCAGGTGGAATTGGGTGAATGATATTTTAATATGTTTACAATTTACACATTTTATATATATATATATATATATATATATATATATATATATGTATTTTACTATTAACATAAAGCTGCAAAAGTGGCAATATAATTAACAATGCTAAAGAAGTGCCTTATTGGGTAGTAAATGCAGAGGATTTGACAGTGGGCAGTATGTGTAGGATAATAGTGTGGAGTGCCTGACAGCAGGCAATTTGGGCAGGAGAGGAATGCATATGGAATGACCAGGAGGCAGTATGTACAGGTAACCAATGTGGAGGGTATGCTAGGGGGCAGTATGTGCATGAAAGGCTTGTGATGGGTCCAACAATAGACAGTATGTGCAAAAGAGAAATGCACTGGATATGACAAAGGGCAGTATGTACAAGCTTGCAGATAGTATAATGTGTAACAGTATGTGTAGAAAAAATTGCAGGGGGTAGGACAGCAGACAGTATATGCAGGAGAGAATGATGAAGGATATGACAGCATACACTAGATATATAGTTCAGATTTTTTTTTTATTCATCTGCATGATTTGGAACACTGTAGTTATGTTTATAACATAGAACACGGTTTTCAATGCTTACTTTTTAATTAATAATAACCCTTTAATTGCCAGGTCCATACGGCGTACAGACATACCACATTGCTTCCTGCTGGCTTGGTCCGTATGCCGTACACATCTGATTTCTCCTGCTGCTATAAGCTCATGATTACTCCAGTAAGCCAACATGTAGCCTATAATTTGGGGAGTGGCTGTTTTCATCAAAAGCTTCTGATAAGGATATTTTACTTCATGATAGATTCCTTTAGAAAGTTGATTCCTTGGTGCTCCTTTATGCAGGCCATAGACGGGTCATTTATTGGCCGAATTTTTGTCCGCACGAAAAATCGGCCGATAATCACGCCGTTAGTGGGGCAGCCCGTTGGCTGTTTTTCGCGGATCTCCTCATTTATTTTTATCGGTCATGCTGAAAAATCCGTGAAAAATGGCCATTTTTGTTGACATGGGTGGCAGCATCGGCAACAGGGCCGACCGATTTTTTCGTTTATTGGCCGCAAATTCGGCCGATAAACGGCTCGTCTATGGCCTGCCTTAGGATGCCTGCAACAATTGAAGGGTTTTGTAGCATCCTCTTACTTTGTCATGTGAATTCATTTAAACCACATCAATAGATTCTTGAGAGATTAGCCATGTAAAATAGCTAAGGTGTAAACTGACTTTTTTTTTTTCTCTTTTTCTTTCCAGGCTTTTAAGATGCTATTGTATGTATGCTGCTACACAGGTTACATGGCCAGTAAATTCAAGCAGGTCATGTAAAAGCAAGTAATACGTGGCCCAAAATAAGTTGCTGCAAAGATGGAGGAACTCTATAAGGAAACACCAGAACTGCAGATTGATTTAAATAGCACTTCTTCCTCTATTCCAAACAAACTTGAGAATGGGGTTGCCCAACTTATTACTGCAGAAGCTTGGAATATTAACCCATCTGGTCTCATGAAAAAAGCTCTTTCTCCTCTGGTAACTGTTCCAGCATCTCCTGTTCTTAGCCCCTCTTCTGATTCCCAGAGTGGAGTAGCACTAAAAGTGGCTGCAACTGTGCTTCAGCCCATTTGTCTTGGAGAAAGCCCCGTTGTGCTTCCAATACACTGGCAAGTTGCTGGTAGTACGCCACCTCAGATAGGTACTAGCAACAGCAGCCCACCATATGTTATCACCACACAAGGTCCTGTCCCATTGCCTGTGCTTTTGGAACAACACGTTTTTCAGCATTTGAACTCTCCTCTGGTATTGCCACAAGGATCATCGTATCCTGGTGCTACAATTCAAAACCATCTTTTTCCTGGAACTGCTGCCACAGTTGGTCAACCTCAAATTCTTGATGAAAAGACTTCTAACCCAGTGCAAGAAACAGTTCTGCCCCCTGTTTTTCAAAATCCAGGCTTTTCAGCTGTGCTGCAAGATTTCTTTCCCTCACCCAGCAATCTAGGCACACCTTCTCCTTGTCATATATCTTCAGATTACGCCTCTACCAATGTCCACACTGTTCCACCGCAAGCCTTTAGCTCACCTTTATCACCACTAGTTCCTCCTGCCACTCTCCTGGTACCATATCCAGTTATTGTCCCTTTGCCAGTGCCAATACCTTTACCAATCCCAATCCCTATACCAGTGCCACAGACTGAATGTACAGATAATGCGGACCATCAAAAAACAACAGTAGAAATCCCAAAGAGCTGCAAAAGCACACAGACCCCAATGGAAAAAGAAGACATTAAACCTTTTGAATCGACAGGAAAGCCAGAACTTGCACAATTTCATCGGCACTCTGTCATCAAAATGAACAATGAAAATGAAGCCCTGGATCTTTCATTGAAAACTGAAACACTGGTCAAAGACAATGATATGATTAGTATGACTAACCAAGTGATAGAGGAAGAAGGTGTTTTAGACCTTTCCCTCCCAGTGTACAAAAGATGTGGTAGTACAAGTGCTCAGAATGGAATATCTGTGTCATATGGACAAATCAGTGACTCTTCAAGCCCTTCCGCTGGTAAGAATTTCCCTACCACTACAACACTGAATCCAGCCCTTGTCCATCATGAGATGACACACAAAGATACCCGAGTCATCTGCACTAATTCTAATGAACTTATAAGACAGCAGAAATGGTCTTCTGAACAAAACAACAGAAGTAGCTATGAGCCCAAATCCACCAACAACATAGAGCTTGTGAGTAGCTCCCAAACAGCAAAAGTCATTGTTTCTGTAAAAGATGCTGTGCCTGCCATATTCTGTGGCAAAATCAAAGGGCTTTCCGGTGTGTCTACAAAAAACTTTTCTTTTAAGAGAGATTTACCACAAGGCTCTACTGTACAGGGCTACGATGTGAAGACTCAGGCAGAAGTAAAGGAAAATGCTGATGCATTAAGGAAACAAGTAAAGAACAGAAGTGTTAAATTAAAGAAAGTGAATTCACAAGAAATACACATACTCCCAATCAAAAAGCAAAGACTAGCTGCTTTCTTCCCAAGGAAATAGGATCTGCCTCATTGGAGATGTTAAAACCAATTAGGTGTCCCATTTGTTGGGTTTTACTGGAAGGTGATACTGAAATATCACACCTTTGTGCCCTGATTCACTGGCCCTGCACACAGCACCTTGAGATCTAGAGGTAGATCCAAGAACCGCTCTGTGTGGGGCTGTAACAGACGGGAACTGGGTCCTATCAGTCTGACCTCAACTGACTCTACTCCTTTGAGTGGACTCCTTTTTGTATTATTCCTGCCAGAAAAAGATTTCTGTAAAACAACTTCTAGAAATCAAAACAAATTATGGCTGTAGAAATGGAAGTATTTGTTTTGAAAAGTTGGAATATAAAGACCACTTAGCCTTTTTTAAACTGTCACATAACAGTTTGTAATGATGATACAAATGGGACAGCAATTATTTACCACGTGGATCAATTTGCCTTTAAAATATCTTTCTAATTTATTATATGTGAGATGGAAAACAATGGGTAACCATGAAAATGTAAATAGTCTGTAAACTGGGACATTTTTGTCATATGCATTGGCAAAGGCCATAAAACAACTTATTTTTAAGGAGATCACACATTTTATGCAGCTTTTACTAGAGTGCTGGACTGGCCAGAACTGTTTTACTGCCAAGATTTCCCTATATGCTGTATTTAATACTAATAGCAACACTGCATATTTAAAATAAATGCTTGTACGTGTCAATGATTTACTTTACCTGTGTTCATTGTGGATGTTACACAAAAAATTAGTCACATTCAGTTCAGGACTTTGAGTTTTCTGCAATTATGAAAGAGATGAAGTGCAGTAACAACCATTTATTTGCATTTGGGGATCCAGAAAGCGTTCGGTACTGTGCGCCTGCACATATGTCACATTGGAAGCAGCGTCTGTCTAGCTGCTGCGTTCCAGTTGACAGCAATGGGACCACCTTCATAGGTATGTACAGGACAACTGTGCGTCCGCATGCAGGTAAACACAGCTCTCCACGAACATACATTTATGTATACTCTGTGTGAATTCTTAGTATGACAACTAAAGTTTGAGCAGTGGGTTACTCACAATACTGGATCTCTTCAAATTGCATTGAAGAGCAACAAAGTACTGACCTGCCCTATAGTTGGTAACCTAACCCTAGCTTGAGTATCTATGAGATGTTTTATTGAAACAATGTCCATTCAGTGGTCTCCTTTTAGACAAAATAAGTTTGATGATACATTCAGAGATCTATTTACAATTGTTGCACTCATAGATGTGCTGCTAATGGCAAGTTAAAGTCAATTATATTAACTGGTGCACATACAGTACAAAATATGTTTATATTTAGACCTCAGATCAGCCCCAGTTTATGAAATTTGATTGTCAAATCAGCCCCAATGCACGTAGCTTCAAACCTTAGATCAGCCCCAATTCATACACCTTCAAATTTCAGATCAGCCCCAATTTATGGACCTTTAGATGGCAGACCAGTCCCAGTTCATGTACCTTCAGGACTAAAATCAGCAACAATTATTGCTGCACCTTCAACCCGCCAGCTCCAATTTATGTTCCTTCAGAATTCAGATCAGACCCAATTCATAAACCTTTAGTCCTCAGATCAGCCCGAATGTATGCATCTTCTGACCTCAGGTCGGCCCAAAACCCCTGTTATTATTATTGTAGCTCAGATGAATAAGTGTAACCACCACTTGCCTTCCCCATCCTCCTCCCTGCCATACTGAAAACGCTCCTCTCACTTCCTTTCTGTGGTTTACACACTTCTATGGCTATTCAGCTGCTTCCTGGTTGCCAAAGTAACATCCAGCACTGTTTTTGGACAAACTTCCATTGCTTAATCAGAGCCATCACTAGAGGTGCTGCCTTGCCACCTGACAGGAGGCACAATTCCCATTGCAGGAGGGGTGGCAATGGTCACCAGTGAAAAAAACTGTTTGTGCCAGGTGTTGCCAACCACTGAATTAAAATATGTGCAGTGTTGTAGCTCGGTCACCCCACTGACCCCAAACCTTTGACTTTGCAAAATTAAAATTGTTACAAACTGAAATTAAATTTGATGTGTAGCTTGAGAGACTCCCAGTCTCTTGTCTTTAATGGGAATACTTTTGCACCTCTGAGGCATTCCCACAATAAATATGAGTAGCCTCTTCTTTCATACCTCTCTTATAATCTCCTGGCTATGTCCTCTGGCCCTGACAGTGGAGCCATAGATTATCCTTCTCCCGTATCTCCCCTCATTTTTTCCCTTTTCTCTCTCCTGATGTCTAATTTTTTGTTCATGATTTAGTCTACTTACAAATATGCAAGTCTTTTGTGTATTTTTTCTTGTCAAAGTACAAGTTGCGTACTCTTTGTCTCTTTATGATATGCAGATTACCGTTCGACTCAAACAGGGTTCATGTTAAAGATTTTAATAGCAGGAACCAGTTTTGCAGGAGACTTTCACTCATTTGGACTACGAATTCATTTTTATGAACTTCCTTGAGCAATAAATGTATCTTTCTCTCTAGAATAGCTACAGTGCCTTGAAAAACGTAAATGTATTTTATTGGGATTTTATTTGATAGACCAACACAAAGTGGCACATAATTGTGAAGTGGAAGGAAAATGATTTTCAAATTTGTATTCAGCCCCCTTTACTCTGATACCCCTAAAATCTAGTGGAACCAATTGCCTTAAGAAGGCACCTAATTAGTAAATAGAGTCCACCTGTGTGTAATTTAACCTCAGTATAAATACAGCTGTTCTGTCTGTGAAGCCCTCAGAAGTTTTTTAGAGAACATTAGTAAACAAACAGCATCACAAAGGCCAAGGGACACACCAGACAGGTCAGGGATAAAGTTGTGGAGACATTTAAAGCAGGGTTAGGTTATAAAAAAAAAAGTATCCCAAGCTTTGAGCATCTCACAAAGCACTGTTCAAGCCATCATCCAAAAATGGAGAGTATGGTACAACTGCAAACCTACCAAGACATGGCCACCCAGCTAAACTGACAGGCTGGGCAAGAAGACCATTAATCAGAGAAGCAGCCATTAGACCCATGGTAACTCTGGAGGAGCTGAAAAGATCCACAGCTCAGGTGGGAGAATCTGTCCACAGGACAACTATTAGTCGTGCACTCCACATATCTGGCCTTTATGGAACAGTCTGTTAGCCTCCCCTCCGATGATGTGCCTTAGCACGAAAGGCCTCAGGAGGAGCTGACAGCGTGTGTCGTCATCGCCGCTGTGACCACGAGGAGGTCCTGCGGCCATCTTACTTTAGGGTCAGTGCTGCAGTACTCTGCTTTTATCACAAATTGGCACTTATATTGTACCTGCACCCTACTTTATACCTTTTTACTACATTTATTCAATAAACATCAAGAATTTACTACACTATTGGCACTCCCTCTCTTTGGCTCCTATCTGGATGAGCTATTAAACCCACAGAGCAATCCTGAATAACATCCAGTATCCAGAGGAGGGAGCCCTGTACCCAGGCTGAAAACCCACATATCCTTAACCTCCCTAGTGGTATTCCCGAGTGTAGCTCGGGGGTAGAGTTTCAGTACCAAAAGCGGTAACCCCGAGCTACACTCGGGGATACCCTGCGGTGTTGCTCAGGGATTCCCTGCAGCGCTCCTTCGCTCCCGCGATGCGTCCCCTGCAGCATCCCCGGCCATCTCCTCCGGCCGATGCCGGCATCCGTGTTCCGGTCCCTGTGATGTCGGGACCTAGGGGCGCCGGAACCGGTGGCAAATTTGAAAATTTTAAAAAATGACATTTTTTTAAAAACGATTATTACATAGTAAAACATTGCTGTTTCAAAGAATTTCACATACATTTTGTCCCGAGTGCTTTGTCCTGTGCCCTGCCTGCATTTTGACTGTTCTTTCTGCCTGGAAACTTAGAAAGTCCATGGCGTCCAAAAAGCGTTCCTTTCGGTCAAAAGCAGTTTTAGACCAGCTAGAGAACAGCGATAGTAAATCAGAACTACTTGCAGAATTGAGTGATGATTCGTGGGGAAATTCGTCATCAGACACTGAAAACAATTCTGGACTTTGCTCAGCGATGTGCGAACTTGGCGCTATATTTCGAATTTCAGTGTTTTTGGTTTGATTATATTATTGAATTAAATTTATTATGTTATTATTTTTTATGATTATTTATTAAATTATAATTTATGATTTCGTGTTTCAAGTTTTATCATATCTGGAATGTTTACTAGGCTTTTGTTCGGACAGATTTCAGTGAGTTATTCCTAAATTACAGGCCTACAATAAAAAAACTACATATTTCAATGCAACAAAATGGTACTGCTTTCAGCACCAAAAATCTGAAATAATCATACCGCTAGGGAGGTTAAAGGAGACCTCTGGGCCTAGCAGATTACTACTTCACCCAAGTCTGATGACCATTTCTCCTGAGGGAAACTCACCATCTGTCTGCTGTTTAAACTCTATTTGGTGGATATTTATATGCGCATTTCCTATGCGCAGTCGGAGAGTGTGCATTTCTGCCATTTTTCCTGTCACAACCTTTTTTATCTGCTGTTGTGGGGATTACTATTTGTGTCATATATGAGATTCAGCCAACTGGACAAACTTTTTTGAACAAACGTTTATTTATTGTTTTTAGCACTGCACTTTATATATCCATTGCTATTTCTGAGGTTATTGTGATTTCCTTAAGTGTTCTAGCTGCTATTTGTGTACAGAGCGCTCGCTTAAGCATTAGCCGCCCGGCCAATGGCCGTTTGGCGGCTTCAAATGTGTCCCTGCATTCCGGGTGCACGCCATTTGGCGTGCTCCCGCACATGCGCCGTTTGCGCTAATGCAGAGCGGCGCAGCAGTGCGATCTGTCACCGGCCGTGCACCTCGGACACGGCCGATGACAGATCCGAGTACCGGCTCCCGTTGCTGGTACCATGTGACCTGCTGTGACCAATCACAGCAGGTCACATGACAGTTGTATACAATGGATGGCTTCATTCATGATGCCATCCATTGTATACTAGTGCCTAGCT